GGCGATAATACATACTGCATTGACTGTCATACCAATCTCCAAAACTGCATATTGTAGCCATTGTAGGGAAAGATGAACTGTAGAAGCCCTTGCTATCAGAGGAATAGCAAACCCTCGCTCTGATCGACGAGAATCGCGTGATCGCGCCGTTTGCATCTTGCTGTGAAACGCCCACATGGGACACGTCCCACATGCGAAATTCCTCTTTTTTATTGTGTGAGTAAAATAACGAATACATTCGTCTTCTGTCCTCTTTCTACATCAGCAAAATGAAGCCACCACTGTCGCGTTACTGGATCTTCGACCGCTCAATTCGAAGGTCAAATTGCCTCTCCCTTTGTTGGAAGTGGTGTGCAAGGATGTTGATTCATTAAGTTCTTGATTTCTACATTCGTAAATGCAAGGGGGATGTTTGAACAATGTGGGAACGGTTAAGAACTAGGTTGGGTTTCTGCTGGCTAGCCATTTTTCGTAGTATTGGCGCACATAAGTCTGTAGGGTGGGGTCCCGCATGATGACCCGCCACCTATCCTTCAGATCGACATTTGTACGTCGGGAGGAGGGGAAGACCTCGTCGCGTATTTTTGCCCACGAAGGAGGACCAGGGATGGCAAGTTGAACCGCGTGCCACAGGGCCAGTGTCTCCGAGAGTGTCCAGGGCTTTCGACGGCGAGCCCTGCCCTCCATTGCAATTGACGCGGCATCATTCTGATCACAGCTTCGTAATGTAAGGCTCAGGTTTCGAGCCTTCTTGGACACTTTGAGTTTCGGAAGTGTCTCTGAATGAACAGGATATCCAAGTAGGCATTAATAAAATAGGTGTGGTGGGTGGGAGGTGCCGTGCTTTCCCTCAGGCCTCCCTCCCTTACAACTTAGAAGAAGACGTTGCTATGTGCAAGCCATATCGCAGTCAACTTGCAGGGCGGAGTACCTCTCCGACCCTTAAAGTTAGCAATGGCCACCCACATTACATGGATGAGAAACCACGCATGTCACAATAGAAGCAAGCATTCGCAATGCCATTTGAGGTTATCTATAGTCTGCAAAAAAAAACTAGAAAAACCACCTAAAAGGAAGACTTTTACAAAGTGTCAAAGTAGTTTGAGCAGACCGATGCTCACCTGTAGGTGAATCGGGTGGTGTGCAAAGTCCGTGTGGGAGGTTAGTGTGTCCACGCGGTAGCAACCTTCTCACCTGACAGTTTTTATTTGGAGTGGATTGGGGAAGATTTTGGAGCTCCATCGTCGTATCTAAAATGAAGCAACATGAAGCTAAAGCAGTTTGACAATAACGTGTGCACAGAACTAGGCAAACACTGTGCGACCCTCTGAACCAATTCCAGTAATGATACCGCATCTCCAATGTTGCCGCAATGGGAAAGAAAACGGTACCCATAATTGCAATACGATAACCAGAAGGCTTACGTAATCACGTCAGATTTGGCCCGTAGAGACTAGGATTAATGTACCTGTTTGAGTGGCGACAGATAGGGGAGGATGGAAAACATCCAATGCTCCTCGCCAAGACGTAAGTACTTTCTCCTCAACCAGGTGATGCTCATGGCCGTAGCTTCCCTGCGGAATACAAAAAGAACAAACTATAGTAACGAAAAAGGTGCAGTTATGCAGTGTTGCGCCTGCCGCATGAAGCTTCGCCCAAATTTAAAACCAAGGCAACGCACCCCAAAGCGAAGGCACACATTGCGCAGACGCGACCGAACTGTTGCATCATCAATCCATAAGGAAGGATGACTATCTACCGAGAATTACGGGGCACTACTGCATCACCCACCTGATTTCTTATGCAAGGCGAATTCTGAAAGCTGCGAAAATAGCAAATTAAACGGTACAGTCTTCGTGCAGAGCACCTCGTCCGATGTCCCTCGTTCGGTCGATAATGTTTGCAATACAAGCTTGTGCACAGCCACACTCAATTTGTGATGAAGTTTTGGCCATTCATCGATTTTCTCACACCTCTTCTAAAAAAATCGCTCTGAATGAGAGTCGAATTAACAGAAGCTGACACTGAAATGACGTATCGGCCTACACGGAATAATGTCAGGCGTTTAAGGTGTAGCACAGAAACAGTCATCCAAGACCAGTAATGCTTTTACATACCATACAGTTAATTGACAAACGTATTGTGTTCGTTGACGGGCCCGAGCAGCTCTTCGCTAAAAACGATGCCTGACTATCCATCTGAAGCAACACAGCTCTGGCTCTGTCCAATGTTTGAGTAATACACTCAGGAGAGGCATTCCGCTTTGCGTCCTGATAAGTTTTCATCAAACTTGAGAGCATAAGCGTTTCGACATACAGCAACACTGCACCAAACTCAATCATTTCCCAAAAGTGAAGCACTTTAACATCAACTGAATGGCACAAGACTTTAAGCGCTCCACGCTTCATCACAAAGTTACCTCTAAATTTTTCGAGATTCGGTTCTTCTTGCTCAAATACATCCGAGAGAAAGGTTGAAATCACCACATCCATTTGACAAGCGCGCCGAAACCAGCATCTACTAAAAGCTCACGCATTTAAAGTGGTGCTCCGTTGGATGCCTTACACAACAGAAATAGAGGTCGAAGACCCACGTCTCATCTGCTATCATGTCAAGATTTCTCGTTTTCGTAGGTGGTTGCGCTGCATTTGCAGCTCAGATTATTCCGATTGTCAGGACTCCCAGATCAGAAGTCCCTGTAGTCAAGGTTTACACAACAACTATTGCCCCTTTCCCCATCAGCACAGTAATAATCTCATGTCCTCTCTCTGAAATGTGATGACGTGTTATCTGCACACAATGGTCTTCAGGTCTATCGGATTAAACAGCCACTCATTAATGGTCACGCGACTGCACTGGTCTCGCATGCTGTATGTCGACCTTCCTCAAGCAGTGCATGCCATACAACGAAAGACCGACACCCTCAACCTCCTCCACAGCCGTAATGCAACACTGTTTGTGCAGGACTGTGTTTTGGAAGGGAGCTCTGTGAACTGATTCCCAAGCCATGTGCGTAGTCCGAGCTTTCACTCTATGTTAAACCCACGAATTTGATTTTCTTTTGCCGGAGTGCCACAGTAATAGTAGGCCGGGATGGTGTGAAAGCGCACACGCTACCAACGGGTGGAGGTGCCGAAAAGTTATTAGCATGGCGCAAAGGTCATGCAGCGCAGTGTGTGGGAGCTGAAGCGTCTGGACAATTGGAAAAAGCGCCAAATATTGTTAGTGATCTCCCAAACATGACTTGTTTGACCCTTCGGCTGTGAGACATCTGTTGTCTCACTTATGCGATAGTTGCCTTGACGCAAGGGGAATGCTGCAACGATAACGGGACAGGAGGCGACTTTCAGTGCTAGTGTGCGTAGCGTCCCCAAACTTTTTCGGGAACGAGGAGAGTTGTAGTACATCAGTAGAATGGGTTTTGTTGGCGTACAGTTGAGTTGAGCCTGTTGGTGTGGTCCAGAGTCCACGTCTCTGGCCGGAGGCGCAGTGACGGAGTGTTTAAGTGGCCCATTTACGGAACCCATATTTCCTTGAAAGCTTTCATTTCTCATTTAGCACTGTTGTGCCAGCAATGCCAATAGGGACTCATGCTCCATCAAAGCTGTTCTCTGGGACAAAATTGGCAATACATTACTGGTTGCTGCCTGTCTGTCTGGC